CGAACGAGCACAGCGCTAAGCTCGATTTTCAGCAATTTGCAGAGTGCATGCAACAACTTCTAGATAATTTAAATTCAAGATTTAAGTACACTATTGAAACGGGTGAAATTCTAAAATATTTACATTCTCCACTTAATTCATCTGCGGAAATTAACGATATCATTTCTTTGATCATCAAAAATAATCATCCAGTTAGCGCGATCGAGTTATATCATGAAATGAATAACTTACGTCAAGATAAAGATTTTCAACAAATCACTGACATCGATTATCTATGGCAAAAGATTTCGCGAAATAATAGTTATCTGAATCTCTTCATTGTTTATAAACGAATTTGTAGTATATTTCGTACTTCGTACTTATGTGAATCGGTATTTTTTCACATGAATAACATTAAGTCCTCGGATCGAACACTTTTGACAGATTCTTCTCTCAATGATGCCATTTTAGTAGCAATAAGTGACTATCAGCCGGATTTGAATAAATTATCACTCGGTATGATGCCTCAGCCCTCTCATTGACTTTCTTTGACCGAATGTTATCTGCCTTATAACTTCAATCCTTTACTTGCACGGGGAACGCATGAAGGACGCTCGCATGATGCATGAGATTATTTATTGATCAGCTCCTGATTATTTTTACCTGTTTCATAATTTTTCCCAATTTCCCTATCCCTACATTTTCCTTCCTATTCCTGACGGAATACGGCTACCACCTACCCGTGGTTTCCGTTGAACAGCATTGAAAAATGCTGGCCAAAAGTGGGCAAAAATATTTGATTCAATGTAAAAAAATCATTCATGTGCTTCTTCCAGAGTCTAGTCGGGTTTGAATAAAATATGGCTAACAATTTGAAAGAATTGTTACAGCATCATATTCAGAAATATTTTTGACCATGTGTGAATTTGTAAATTTCTTTTTATATTAATCCGCGCGACTATTTTCCCCATTTTACCATTTGGCAGAAGCGTCATGGCACGCTCCCCAATATGGTGACTGTGAGGCCCCCACTATGGTCCCCACTATGATCGTACTAGGACCCTCATAATTGGCATGTTTATAAACTTGATTGGATTCCTAACTCGAGTTTATGACTCTGCTCCGAGCTACCTGGAAGTTGCCCATCCCTGGACTAGACGGATGCGCAGGGTGTAAAATGGCCGAGAGGCTGATTACACATCCTGATAAATCAGGATCGTCTAAGTAATAACAAAAGTCATAATTTTTCATAAAGGAGGAATTTGAAATTTCAACAATTGAGTCAATTCAAAAAAATGCAACTTGGTAAATAATATTGAAAAACAATATCGAGCAAAAATCAGTTACCATGTCTCCCTGTGTGTTCTGCCATAAAATATTGAGAAATTTAAATTTGTTTTGTTTCCATGAAAAGTCATAACAATTTTTATTCGGCGAGTGATTGATCTGTAAAACAGTGTTTTCCTTCTTCTTCCAGTGTTTATAGTTACGAAAAGCATGTGAGGAAGGATCACACAAATGCGAGTTGGAAATCCCAAATTTTTTAATATCAAGACGATGATAAATCCAATAATATAATCAATGATAATACGGCTGACGTCCTCGTAGAGAATTTCGATAATGCTCATTTGACTGATGCTCCAATGGGTGATCCCCGGTTTGATAATTCATGAGTTTATGAGCATGATTCGACCAATGGTCCTTCCAGCACAAAAATTGTTAATTCCTCCTTTACTGAATATCACATTTTTAAATTTCAAAGTGACCTAGAAGGTATAGCCGTTTTACGTATAAGCGAATTATATGCCAACATTGCATTAACCTAATCTTTTGTGGCGAAGCAGAATTTTGCCCCCCCCCCCCGCCACCTAATTAATACACGTTACTTTGATAGGTTAAGTTAGGTTTAGGTGATCTTTTTTGCCACCGTTGGGCAACCCATCCCCAGATACTCCTAACCCGTTTTCCCTCCCCCTTTTCCGTCCGCGTTTTCCCTCCCCCTGGTACTCACGCATCAACATCATTAAAAAGGACATCACGTGACCCCGGAAGAAAGAGACATCCCTCGAGCGAGACCCTAGATGAGAAGAAGAAGGACACCCGATGACCCCCCCAAAAATCAGGAAAGAAGAAGTGAAAATGATTGGCAGCTATCACTCGTGCCACAGCCGCCCTACGAGTCACTGCCCGGTTAAACAAGAAAGAGTGTGAAGGACTAAATATACTATCAATGAAGGAGAAAGAGAGTGAAGGATACTGTGGAGGATTGTGCCTGTGAGAGAAACTATTGAGAAAGAGAGAAATATTGTGTGGAACTGTGAGGAAAGGATTTTATTGCGAGGAACAATCTCGTGTGGAGGAACAGATTTTGGGAGAGGAAAATTGTACTGCTGAATCTCGTGGAGAGGATCCGAGGAGAGCCGGGAGAAGGAAGCAAGGAGGAGAGAACCCGAGGAAAGCGGAGAGAATTTTGAAGACACCATTTCCCGTGAGTGCCCCATTTTTTATTCCCTGCCCCAACGAATTTCCCTGCCCCGTGTCAATTTCCCCCCAACGGTGAGCCCCCAGTAAGTTAATTTTAGTTGTAAATTAAGCCCCCTATTAATTATTATTAATTAATATTATTACCTTTCCAGTCGGTCCCCTCACTTCTCTTATTATTTTAGGTCCTTTTGTAAGTTATAGTACATTTCCCTAATTTTTTCAGAATATTATTAATCCCCTAATATCGTGCCTTCGCCGGCAATTATTATATTTTAATTCCCTGGTCAAGGTCACAGTGTGTTTCGGAACGTTTTAAGATTATATCGAGAGTTGTAGGGGTTATGTATTTCCTCATTCGACTGATTGAAACTGTCGCCCGATGTGTATTTTTTTCAAACTCTGATGAAAAATCCATGTTTCGCTGTTGCAACTGAATTCAAATTTCTTGGTTACGATAATGATTTAATTATGGTCATGAAGATTCCGTTAAGTTGACACGATGGAATATTTTATAAAATATGAAACATCCTTCCTTGAATCAAAGCTTTGATTTCGTGGGATTAATGGGGTCTGTGCTTGAAAAAATAACCATGCTGTTTACCTCTACATCATTGAGTGACTCTAGAATGAATCAAGTTATAAATTGGGTGACGTTTTTCGTCATTCAACACGTATGTCTCTGTAATGTGGACATGGGTTTTCCATCCATAATTGTGGAATTTACGAGACAAAGTAACCCGAGTAGAAATTTCACAGGGGGCCCCTGATGTGCGTAGGGAACCTACAACTTTTTTGTAGGGTACTAATCCATCGGTTATTAACGACGCGTAACTTACAGGTTCCAAACGTCAAAATACCGATGAGGAGGATCACTGCAGGTTACCGATGAGTTTTCAATTGATGATTAACCGATACAGTTCAACTCGTTCGTAACCAATCGGTTCTTCACAATGTTTCACCGATCATGTATAGGACTGATATACTCATGGGTTGTGCATCGGTTTCTGAAGTACGGATAACTTGCAGTATTAACAACAGCGGAATCTTTCGAATTAAAACTGAATTAACGTTGTCTTGAAGAAACTTATTTTTATCGCTGAAAGGGATTATAATTATGCCAGATGGCGTCCTTTGTCAAAGGATTTATCCTTACGTTTCGTCTAATAGGATACTCTGACATTCTCTGAAATTGTTGTTAAATATTGATATAACTTTCAGTCCATTCTTTGTAGTAATTAAGGAAGACCATTGAAGTTTTAAACGCAATTGGGTGCCTACAGGAAAAGGTGTGATTTTTCAAGTAAACAGTGGTTTTTTCATTGATTTTTTATTGCACAATGACGTTTAGAATGTAAAAACAGCATGGTATTTTTGCCAACAGAAAAATAATTCATACAACATAATTTTGAGAATATTAAATTATACCAATGGATGAAAAGGAGAGGCGGCGTGAACGAAAAAAGGAATTGGCCAGACTTCGATCTGCTAGATATCGTCACACTAAGAAAATGAGGGTTGTGGAGCAGTTTCGACAATCGAATGATTCTCCAGATTTCCTAGCACTGTGCAGACAAGATCCTGAACTATTTCATCATGATGAAATCCATCTAGCTGAACTGGAGGATGAACCAGGTATTGTGGCTGCTAGGTATCTGTTCGAAACTATGCCTGGATCGGTGGGGATAATTAAGTTGATGAGCGGGATTTGAGTGGATTGCGGGAGTGGGATGAGCGGGTCAAAAAATGAGCAGAATACGTGCACTTGGTCACAAAAAAAACTGTATTTTTCAAAAAGGAGTCACAATGAATCACTGAGTCGCACCGAAATGTCAATAATAACGATAATGATAATTGATGAGCGGACCGATAATTCGTAGTAAGCGTTTATAAATGAGCCTACACAATTTGAGTAATTCCGATTACTGAGAAATGAGCGGTACAAAGAGCTGTTACTCTGAGCAGTTCCCGGAAACGATTGAGAGAGAGACACGGGCCTACAGGTGCCACGTGCCCTTAATCGGAGGTCACATGACCTATTCAAAATATAATACATTATAATTCGTATGATAATGAAGAGCTGTCCAGGAAGTGGCGCCTCAGGTGCCAAAATTAATAACGCCCGATCATCTCAGATGAGCGCGTCAGGTATGCGTGAGTGGGGAGAGAATGGATGAGCCGCGCGTGTGTATGTGTGAGTGCCTGTCAGCTGACAGGATTTCTAACATTCTTCCCGGCCGTTGACAACTGTAAGTTGTTGACGCAACCAGACTGAGCAGAACCATGGTGAGCTGAAACAAAAAGCAAAATTCAAAACGCTCTTTGGTGAGCTGGCGGAGTTTGTCACCCATGAGTGAATCCGTGAGACCGTCCAGAAGGTGCGCCGGCTAGGCATGGCAGCATCCTAGACATCTGGGGTCTTAATCCCTTCTGCTTTAGCTGCTGTCATTCTCACGTTGAGCCCCGTCGGTGAGTCAGGGTCGTAAATCCGTCGAAGTTGACGAAGTCCAACAGTGAGAAGCCGGTGAGTTGACCTGGTTCTATTCCTCGGAAGGTGAGATGGACAAGATGACGAGCTTGGCGATTGGCCTCGTCAGCGTCGTCTGAGCAGTCCTGATGGTGACTACCCTGGTGAGTCCATCCGATCCTGGGTGCAGAGCAGTCACTCGGGCGAGAAGCCACTTCGTTGGCGAAAATCTCTCGTCCGTGAGTAGAACCAGTGAGCCGATCCGCAGTTGATGAATCGGATGGTGCCACTTGGATATCGCCTGAAGACGTTGGAGATATCCCGTGGACCACCTCTTCCAGAATCCTTGGAGTTTCTGCTGAATGAGCTGCCATCTAGAGAGTCTCGAGATGTTGAGTTGCTCTAAAGATGGTTCCGGAAGAGTCGTGGGAGCCTGACCGATCAGAAAGTGTCCCGGTGTCAAGGCTGAGCAGTCATAAGGATCATCCGTGAGCGGTTCCAGTGGTCGTGAGTTGAGCACCGCCTCGATTTGAGCGAGCAAAGTGGTGAGTTCCTCAAAAGTGAGCAGATCCTCTCCGATCGTTCGGGTGAGATGGAACTTCACCGACTTCACCGCCGCTTCCCATTTCCCTCCAAAGTGTGGAGCGCCTGGAGGATTGAATGACCACTGGGTCCCATCATTAATAAGGAGCTGAGCGAGCTGTCTGGAATGAGCTGATCCTGATGAGAAGAGCTTCCTGAGTTCCTTGTCAGCGCCAAGAAAATTGGTCCCGCAATCACTGAACAAGGAGTGAGCTATCCCACGCCGACTTGTGAAGCGCCTATATGCTGCGATGAACCCTTCAGCTGAATAGTCCGACACGACCTCGAGATGAACCGCTGAGGTGGTCATGCAGACAAAGATAGCCAACCAGCCCTTGTACGACTTGTGACCCCGTCCTTTCCATGAGCGTAGCGATACGGGGCCGGCATAGTCGACTCCCGTGTTGAGGAAGGCGCGAACGGGGGAGAGTCTTGCTGGTGGCAACTGGCCCATGAGCTGTTGCGCGCGTACTTCACGTTGGCGAGTGCATTTGACGCATTTGAGTATGAAGGAGCGTACTGGTGCCCGGCCTCCGAGTATCCAGTAGCTGCTTCTGAGCTGTCGCAAAGTGAGCTGTGTGCCTCCGTGGAGTGTCCTGAGTTGAGCTTGTCCTATGAGCAGTTGAGCCAGCCGAGATTCCCTCGGAATGATAGCTTGATTCCGGCTCTCTGGGCCAATATGAGCGAACTTGAGCCGTCCGCCAACTGTCAGTACCCCTTGGTGATCGATGAAGGGTGTAAGCTTGGTGAGAGGGTGAGATTTACTGAACCTCTCCCCTCGTGAGATTGATCTGAGCTGATCCTTGAAGTGAGCTGCCTGCGTGAGTTTGATCCAGAGGATCCGAGCCTCTTCCAGATCACCAAGTGTGAGCGGGTACTGAAGAGATGAATGAGGGACTCTCCTGAGCCGAGCGATGAATCTTCGACAGATTGCTGTGACCCTGAGCAGACGGTTGAGCGAAGAGAATCTGTCGATGAGATCCCAGAGAGCGATTGGTTGAGCCTTGAGATGTAAGAGAACTCCTGGCTTCTCCTCGAGGTCTACGTTAAGGTCCTTTTCCAAGGCGTGAGTCGGCCATGAAGAGCTGTCCTGTTGAAGCCATGGCGGCCCTGTCCACCACAGCTTATGAGCGACCAGCTGATGCGCTGATAGACCTCGAGACGCACAGTCTGCAGGATTCTCCTTGCCTGGTACCAACCTCCAGTGAGCCTGCTGAGTGAGGTCTTGAAAGAGTGACACCCTGTTCTTCACGAACTCCTTCCACCTTGATGAATGAGAGCTGATCCAGGTAAGCGTGATCGCTGAGTCCGTCCAAAGATACGTGGTGGCGTTTGTGAGGTTGAGTTGGTCCTTGACGTATTTGGTCAGTTTGGCAAGGAGAAGAGCTGCAGTGAGTTCTAGACGTGGAATTGTCAGCCTTTTGAGCGGTGCGACCTTCGTTTTTGAGCAGACCAATGTGACATCCTGTTTATCCCCGTTGAAGATTTTGAGGTAAACCACGGCTGACATAGCCACTTGCGAGGCATCAGAAAATCCGTGTACCTCCACAATTGAGTCTATGAGCAGTCCAAGCCACCGAGGTATGGTGATCTCTGACAACTGTGTGAGTTCCTCCCTGAACTGACGCCATCGTTGAGCAGTCGTCGGCGAGACTGGTTCGTCCCACCCCAGTTTCTCGATCCATAGCGCCTGAAGCAGAATCTTCGCTCGCACGACCACTGGTGCGAGGAAGCCGAGCGGATCGAAGAGTTAAGCCGTCTCCGATAATATGATCCTCTTCGTTATTGAGCTGGTCTCAGTCTGAGTGATGGAGAACTTGAACTTGTCCGTTCCTGGATGCCAAGAAACCCCAAGAATCTTGGTGAATGAGTCCTCTATGGATCGTTGATCTTGAGAGGTGCTGTCAGGTTGAAGATATGTAAGTAGAGCTGGGCTATTCGAGTGCCATTTGGCTAATGGAAAGCCTCCTGACAGGCAGAGCTGCGTCACCTGGTGAGCGGTCCTGAGTAGTTCTTCAGCTGAATCAGCACCTCCGCAGATATCGTCAACATATCGTCCTTTCATGAGCGGTTCCACAGCGAGGGGATACTTCGACCCTTCATCCTCGACGAGCTGATGAGCTACACGTATGAAGAGAAATGGAGCTGACTTTGTGCTATACGTGACCGTGGTGAGCTGATAGTTGACGATATCTCCGTTTGAGTCGGTCCATAAAATTTGTTGGAGCGGCCAGTCATCCGGATGCACTCGAATTTGACGAAACATCTTTGTGATGTCCGTCATAAAGATGAGCTTGCGCCGTCGCGTGAATAGCAGCACATCTGAGATGTCCGCTTGGAGCTTGGCTCCCGTGTGCATGATCTCGTTGAGCGATTGTCCTGAGCTGGTCTTGTTTGAACCGTTGAATACGACTCTGAGCTTCGTTGTCTCACTGCTTGCCCTGAGAACTCCGTGATGAGGGAAGAAGTACTCCGGCGTGGAATGGGCCTGAGGAGACCACGTACCGCCTGGAACCCTCAACCCTCCTGAAGCCGAAACTTCATCTGCCAAGGTCATTCCAGGGGCGTTGCGGCCCCCCGTGAGCTGATCCGAGAGAGCTGAACTACTAGAAGAGCCGGGTACTCTCCGCATGTGATCCAATTCCTCGTATTCCTTGAGGAAGGCTGAATAGAGCTGTCGATAGTTCTCGTCCTTAGACAATTTGTTGAGCAGTCGATGAAGGCAAGCTAGAGCAGACGATCGTGAGTCACCGAGCTGTTCTGGTGAACCGATGAGCGGAAGTCCTACAACGTAGCGCCCTGAGCTGTCCCTTGAATGAGTGCGTTTGAAGTGCTCCTCGCACTGAGCCTCGAGATCTGTGAGCTGAGCCTCTGGTTCCTCCGGAACTTCCTCCTAAACCCAGAATTTTGTGAGCAGGCTATCGAGCTCTTCGTTAGAGACCAATATGTGAGCTGACACGGCTGGTTGAGCGGAGCTCGGACTTTCCGTTGGTCCGAAAATGATCCAGCCGAAGCGTGTGCGTTGAGCCGTAGGAGCGTAAGCTCCGTTTGAAATGACCTCTGGTTGGATGAGCTGTCCGTAGACGTCAGCACCGAGGAGTATGTCAATCAGCGCCGGCGTGAGAAAGTGAGGATTAGCGAGCTGGAGTTCCTCCAGATGATCCCATGTGAGCTGACTTGATGAGAATGTCGGTAGCGAGTTGGTGAGCTGGCCGAGAGCATCGGCAGAGACCCTGAGTTGAAAGTTAGAGTGAGTGGACTGTATAACGAGCTGAACCTTGCCTAATGCCGGCCCAGATGTCGCGTCTCCAATTCCCGAGATTCGTAGCTGCGTCTTAAGTCTTAAGAGCCCAAGCTGACGAACGAGCTGATCCGAGATGATAGAGATTTCCGATCCGGGATCAATGAGTAGACGGACCTGATGAGCTGGACGGTCTGGGCGTACCAAAAACCCAAGGCTGGTAGCCAGAAGAACACCAGGACGGATATCTTGAGCTGAGCTAGGAGCTGACTGACGAGCTGACCAGGAGACGGCAATCTGAGCTGATGAGCCTCAGATCTGGTCTGCCCATGATGAGCTGGGGTTGACTGGAGCAGATGGAGGTTGAGCTGGACCTGCAGGCTGAGCCTTGACCTCAGTCCTGTCCCCCTGCTGAACGTAGGTCACTACCGGCACAGGTTTCGGCCGGGTTGAGCTGGTCTGTTGCCTCTGTTGAGCCGGACGTTGAGGCTGACTCGATGGTTGGCTATGCAGCATCGAGTGGTGGAGCTTCCCACAGTACTGGCAGGTGGTCTTTGACCTGCAGTCCCTGACCGAGTGTCGTTCCAGGCAGTTGTAGTAGAGGTAGCGCTTCTCCACTACCTCCCTACGCGCTGGCACGGTGAGCTGACGGAAGGATGAGCAGGACGTGAGGTAGTGATCCGCCTCACACATGGAGCACGGATACGTGACCTTCCCCGTTGGAGCGGACCTTTGAGCGGGTCTAGACCTCGGCGTTGGTTGAGCGGTGCCGTGGTGAACCTTCGCAGATGGTGCTTGCCTAGATGAGCTGAACGTGGTGGGCTTCGTGGTAGTCGCACGAGGAGTCGAGTTGATCTCGATACTCTCCATCGCACGTGCTCTCCCAGTGAGGAATTCCTTGTAATCCTTGAAAGAAGGATACTCCGAGGATGAGCCGACCTTAACCTCCCAGGCCTCACGAAGCTTTGAGCTGAGCCTTTGTGAGACCGTATGAACGATGACCTGATCCCACTGAGCTGTCGGAGATCCCAGAGCTTCCAAAGCATTCAGAGCTTCGCTGACGGTGGTGAGACGGGCATTCAGTTCCTTGGCGCTGTGAGCTGTCATAGCTGGGGGACTGAGGAGTTGCTCCAGATGAGCTGAAATGAGCAGTCGCGTATTCTCATAGCGAGATAAGAGCAGGTCCCAAGCGATTGAAAACGACTCATCTGAGATCGTAAGGTTCGCGATCCGCTGAGCTGGCTCTCCGGAGAGACTTGTGCGGAGGTAATGCATCTTCTCCACGTTGGAGAGATCCGTGCTTGAGCCGACCAAGGATGCAAAATGATCGCAAAAAGAGCGCCAATCCGCGTAAGCCCCTCCGAATTTAGGCAGCGAAATCTCCGGGAGATAGCGCTTCGAGTAGGTGGGCTGAGCTGTACCAGGCGCGATAGACTGACGAGAAGAGCCAGATGCCCCCTTTTTGTCAATGACCTGATTCAGAATTCCGCGTGCCTCATGATAGCGACCGATGGTAAGATCGAAGCATTTGTCCTTGAAGTATGCCAGTTCAAGGACCCCTTCGATCTTGCCACTGCCCCCGATGAGCTTCTCGTGTGTGCTCTCGAACTTCTCCCAGTAAGTCTCCAGGATCTCGAGTTGACTCTGGAGATTCGAAATCGTGAGGCCTTTCGCCTCTTCGGTGAGCAGTTCCCATGAAATGCGTTCAATGAACGCTGCCCGCGATTGGTTCAGGCTAATGTTCGCTTCGAATGATGCCATATTGAGAATGAAATGAGCAATTCGATAATTCTCAAAAAATTAATAAAAAACGACCACAAGACTGAGCGGTGAAATGTGCGAAGCAAACACAAAAGCAAAAGCGATAGGTTGAGAAGCTGTGCGTGTGAGCGGTTCAAAAAATGTATTTTGTCAGCGGCAGTAATGAGCGGTTCCGGTGAGTAGGCGCGAGAATTTGTTGAGAATTCGAAAAAAAAATAAAAGTTTGGACAATCAAAAGAGCGTAAGCCAAACAAAACTTGCAGCCCAAAAATCTCAAAAAAAAAAAAAAACAAAATGCAGTGAGCGGTCCAAAACGAGCTGTCAAAATGCCTTAGTCGCTGAGCTGTCCAAAAGGCAAAAGAGCAAACGCCACAAAGTTCCGGAAAAACCAAAATTCCAGAGAGAAGGAATAAATTTATGAAAACCAAAAAAGAACCAAAGCGGTAGCCCAAAAAATGAATGCGAAGCCTCAAATAGTAATTATTATTAATAATTATTAGGCTACTTAGCCTCGCCGGAGATTATTGTAGCAGTGGAGCGGGTCTGCAGTGTAACCAGTACGACCCTGACGGATGAGCGGGGCCCTCGGTTTCCTAGGGTGATCCTGGTATGGTGAGCTGGGCACTGGTGACTGGTGGTACGGTCCTGGCGAGTGAGCGGGGCCCTGGTGTCACTAGGGTGGTCCTGACGCGTGGTGCTGGGCACTGCCGTGCATCGAGACGGCCCTGGCGGATGAGCGGGGCCCTGGTAGCCGTTATAGCAGCACTGCACTATAACACGCCCGCGCAAATCACTCCGATGCCGAGATGAAAAAAAACACAAAAACCGAAAAATATTCCACCAATCCGGCTCGAAGGACCAAAAATGTTCGAAACTATGCCTGGATCGGTGGGGATAATTAAGTTGATGAGCGGAATTTGAGTGGATTGCGGGAGTGGGATGAGCGGGTCAAAAAATGAGCAGAACACGTGCACTTGGTCACAAAAAACACTGTATTTGTCAAAAATGAGTCACAATGAATCACTGAGTCGCACCGAAATGTCAATAATAACGATAATGATAATTGATAACGATAATGATAATTGTAAGCGTTTATAAATCAGCCTACACAATTTGAGTAATTCCGATTACTGAGAAATGAGCGGTACAAAGAGTTGTTACTCTGAGCAGTTCCCGGAAACGATTGAGAGAGAGACACGGGCCTACAGGTGCCACGTGCCCTTAATCGGAGGTCACATGACCTATTTAAAATATAATACATTATAATTCGTATGATAATGAAGAGCTGTCCAGGGAGTGGCGCCTCAGGTACCAAAATTAATAACGCCCGATCATCTCAGGTGAGCGCGTCAGGTATGCGTGAATGGGGAGAGAATGGATGAGCCGCGCGTGTGTATGTGTGAGTGCCTGTCAGCTGACAGGATTTCTAACAGTATCTTTCATCAACGACTGACATTGGGGAAGAAAGTGATACTGGGCGCAAAATGGGAGAACCAAGCAGGGACACAAATGTCAATATTGAAGAGACATATACAAGGAATCAAGCCGATAGTTGCGATTATGACATTCAGAAGGCTAGTATGGATGAGAATCAATTCGAGGAGTGTTTAAATAAGCCAGAATTCAATGAGATCGAAGAATTACGGCATTGGTCTCTAAATCCGCATCCACCAATCCCGCACACTCGTCTAGATGCTTTGCTTGTTATCCTTAGACGACGTTTAATGCCAGATTTACCCAAATGCTCGACAACATTTCTCAAAACTCAAGAAACTAAGTATGATATAGAAACTTTTGATGAAAGTGATGGTAGTGAAATTGTTTATTTCGGACTGGAGGATCAGCTTAGGAATATTATTAATCCTGACTTACATGAAGAGAATATGCTTCATTTGATAATAAATGTTGATGGGTTACAACTTTTCAAATCCAGTATGTGACAATTTTGGCCTATTTTATGTAAAATTTATCTGGATTCTATCGATGCTTATAAACCATTTCCTATTTCAATTTATTGTGGAAAAAATAAACCGAATAATCTTGACAAGTTTTTGGAGAAATTCATAGATGAAATTAATCGTTTGTACCGTGACGGCATTCTCATGGGAGATCGTACATTGAGGATATGTATAAAAGCTATCATCTGTGATACACCCGCAAGAGCATTTCTCAAATGTGTAAAAAGTCATGGAGCATATTATTTATGTGAACGATGCACAGTAGAAGGAGAGCGTCAGGACGGACGAACAGTGTACCTTGAAGAGGCTGAACTTCGAACAGATGACTCCTTTCGTTAACAGAGTAATCCTCAACATCACAAGGGAAAATCACCGCTGTTATTAATTGCTCCACCTATAGATATGATTAGTATTTTTGTTCTCGATTTTATGCACCTCCTATGTTTTGGGGTGATGAAAAAACTAACGGACGATTGGCTACATGGAAAGGTTACGACAGTTAAATTGAGTCACAATGGGAAGGATCTATTGTCAGAGATGATGATACTATTTCATAATCAAATACCAGCAGAGTTTCAGCGTTCTACTCGAACTTTATCAGAATTTGATAAATTTAAAGCGGTTGAATTTCAATTTTTATTGCTTTATGCTGGGCCCATTGTTTTCAACAAAGTTTTGATGAAGCCTGTCTATCAGCACTTTCTTCTCCTCCATGCTGCATCCCGAATCCTATGTTCTGAAACATTAGCCACCTCAATGCATACAGAAGCTAGAATTCTTCTCAAGAAATTTGAACAATTACGTCCCGCTTTATACGGCAAAGCAAGTATGATTGGTAATATCCACAACCTGCTTCATTTGGCTGACGACGTTGAAAATATGAATTGCTGTCTTTCCAAACTGACTGCCTTTCCATTCGAAAACTGTTTAGGAAAGATAAAAAAACTATTGAGAAGTGGTAACAGGCCACTTTCTCAAATTTGTCGACGTTTATACGAAATTGTTATAATCGACCAGAAAAAAAGTCGCCGTCCACCACCTGTGGAAATTTTAAGTAAATTAAAGCCGGATGCGTCTGGAAAAATTATTATTAAACGATTAAAATATAAAGGGCGAATTATAACATCGAAAATTCCAGATAATACAATGCTCCTCGACAAAGACACTGTTATACATATTGACATCATTTACCTTGCTCATCAGGGCATGAGTGGCAATTGCATTGAAATGAGTGGATTCACACTAACAATTTTACAATCACTGTACGAAAACCCATGTGATTCAGAACTCTTAAAAATGTGGGAGGTGACTAGACGTCAAGGTAGACGAATTACATGTCGATTAACCTCAGTAATCAATAAAATGATTTTCGTTGATATGCATGAGTGATGCAAGTGAGGAAAAACTCTTTGTAATACCTTTTCTACATATGTGAGGTGAAGGCTTTTTAATGCTTGAATAAATATGGAATTTCCTTCTTGTTCTACCAAGGTTGTGATGGATCGATGAAGTGCGAGTGAATGCATTAATTAATGCAATAAGTTTAATTTTTTTTATAATGTTACTATTATTCTACTTCGATTACTGGATTTTAATTAATCAAATATGAAGATAATTATTGTTTTTATCTGATCATTCCCTTATAGTTTCTCTGTGAATTTTCGATATAAAACTTCTGAAAAATTTAAAGAGGGCACATTTACTCTGCTTTTCTCGGATTTTTGATGATAGTTACTCTCCCTCCGTATGCGTTTAACGCAAAATTGCGTAGCACGTGACTCAGGCCACGCTTCACCTCAAGGTCGACTCTTCTTCTCTCAGAAGCACAGTCGGCACGCGGTACGCAACCCGTTCATCATTTATCGAGTCTTTTTGCGTTACTGTTTAAGAAAAAATTGCAGTTTTTTCGGTGGATTACCGTGATTGGAACAATTAAATTTACATAAACATCTGAAATATATAATATACTCAGATGCATGTGAGTGCGGTTGAGACGCCGGTTTAGTTTCTTTTCATCAAACGCCACACGAGGAAAAGAAAGTTTTGCGTTGATGACGGATTTTTTTTTATATATTCAAACAATATAGTAATTGTTTGATCATCAACTCGGCAATAAGGTAAGAGCTAACAACGAAAGAGATAAAATGGAATATTTGTCACCAGACTCTAAAAAATAAGAACATAACCTCAATCTATTCTATACTATTTACCCACACAAATTAATATTTTTTCATCATATTAATATATGCTTGAATTCTGATCTTCGAAATGTTCTTCGGTTTCCATTCATTTTTGTGTTTTTTTTATTTCATAGAAATGAGTGATTATCCCTATAAATTGGTGGTTTTCCCCAGTGATAGTAGAGAATTGTTGAGCATTGACATTGTTCCGTCATCATGGATTAAGTGAGATGAAGGTGTGCAGAAATTGCAATGTTATTGGATGCCAGGAACAATAACAGCTCAAAAATTTATTGAATTGACAGCGATGATTAAGAACAAAGCTCCACCTAATCCTCATTGGCCAAAATTTGATGTGGATCTCAGGGGTCGAGCTCACTCGTACGAAGAAGCTATGAAAAAACTCAGTGTATTGCATAAGGAGCGATGGGCGTATTCAACAGACGATGAAATAGCATGCCAGAAAAAGGCCACTGAAGAAGCAAAGACTTATCGTATGAAAAAAATACCACAGACTTCGACAAAAGCTGCCGAGGAAGAGTTGGAAACTTTTCACGTGGACCTCACAACACCTGCTAAAAATATTGATCAACAAATTGCAGGTACACTAATCATTCTATTTCGCCTGTCTGTTCTTATAGCCTTTTCCGATCAGGTCATTATAATTTTTATAGCATCCTAGTTTATCAGGAAAATTCTGAAATTCATTTTTTTCATCACACAAATTGAGCAGAAAACACTCTAATATACTTTAACAAAGAAAATTTACATCGTACATTGGAATATTCTCGTATCAACTAAAAAGTTAGGGCAATTTATTCATCAATAATTTTATTCTAATACTGTGAGAAACAAGTCTGTG